AATTTACAAATAAAAAAAACTCAATCAGGCATTAGAATTTCTTTCATTTAGAAATAGAAATAGACAAGGAAGTATTTTTACATAAATGATACAGATATCTGGTTGCTTTGTTATGGATAAGATATTCAATCAACTGATTGTTTGTATTAAATTTTCAATTTAAATTTAGACTAAAGATAATCAAATTATGGTGACCGATATTATTTCAAATTGATCCTTTAAAAAAAATTACATGAAGTGGAATTCTTGTTAATTTTTTATCAATTAAAATTGATCATTAACAGATTGTACTTGAAAAGTACTTCTTGTTAGATTTTTTATTATTAAAAATATTAATTCCATCGCTTTTCAAAGATGTCTATTATATTGGGGTTTTATCATGAAAAAAAATCAACATTTCTAATCCATTTTCAAAGCCTTTTCTTTTGGGAAAATAAATGCGTTAGTGGTTAGTTTGTTGTTTAATGTACCTCTGGAATATGTTTACTTGCGTGGAGATGTCAACAGTTGGAGGGTTTCAAAATTATACCTTAACTCGGGACTCAATCATTAACCACTTTCCCTGCAGTCACGCATTTCAAAGCATGTACCATATACTATTTCTAACGCAAAGAAGACCCTACTGTTATTCTACTGTTTCTTATTATTATTTGCTTTTTTTTTCCCGCCGAATTTTTGACAGGCGATTTCTCAAAGACCTTTTGACTGATTTTTATGAAACTTTCAGGTTAGATACCTTGTATTTACACCTATTTACATCTGCTTTCAATTTTTTGATACATGCCTTACTTTGTGAGTTATTGCCCTTTAATTGATAATTTTGATGTCTCGTGTCCACTAATAAACTCAAAAACGACATATGATAATTTTATGAAAGTTGGAGAACTTGTAGCCAATACATTGTAGATGTGCATAACGATAAAATTATAAGCTGATTTCTTAAAGATCGGAAGCTATGTGACGGCAATTTCTAGTATTTTTTTTTCATGAAATTTTGCTTCTTTTTGTGTAATAACTTTTGAACCGGGAATAATTTGGTAAGAAATATAAAACAAAAGTTGTGCATAATTAAGAGAGCTTTCATATAAGATCAAGGAAAAGGGGCTGGCCCCTATAATTAGGGGATAATAGCTCATACACGTTTTTTTCTGATAGCTAAAAATATTGGCATATTATGAAAAAGTTTGACTGAAATGATTTCGAACTTATTAAATCTTGTCATTTGATATTAAAAGAAATAAACTTCAAGCTGTATTTAATTGTTTTTAATAAAACAATGTGAGAAAATGTGAGAAACCTTTCAGGAACAAGTTGTCTACTATAAGCCATCCAAGCCTTTACTGCATGTGCACAGTTTTAGTTGATGCATCTGAAAGATATAGTTTTGATACGGTGTTTCCCTGTTTTCTTTTTATTCAAATAATTTTAAAATGTGGTGATGTACACAACAATAATTAGTTTAGACTAGGATTTTTTTCGGGGTCTCTTGTTTGTAAACAACGCGCGGCATTGTGGGAAATAGGAAGGTGCTAAAGATGCGATGTACTAAAAACTGATTTGACCTGATTCAAAATTGTCTGTAAATGTTCCAAACAATTGAATTTTTGTATAGCATAATGCATCAAGGTCATAAAGTCTTTACCTAAGTAATTTAAAAAACTCAATATTATCATTTAATTAAAAATTAAAACGTCAGGTAAACATCAGGTCTTTAGTATATCCTAATTTTAGTGTGCCCCATCGAGTCGACGTCGGACACATGTTTACAAACTGAAAATAGAAATGATTTGTGAAGTTGAACATTTTCTCACCATAGAAGCCGTATGCAGACATGCACGCACATTTAATCTGCAGCTACGAAGTACTTTGTCACTCCTCTGGAACATTATTCTAAACAGATTTATCCCATTCATATATTCTAAGAATCTTGTGTGAATTGTTTATGAGGAAATTCCGACTGTCACATTAAGGGGGGACCTATGTCGTTCTACGTCAAAGCAGCGTTACGTGACGTCACAATAGCGACGTTTGCTTTTACCTGTTGACTTTTGCAACTGTGATATAGGCATAACATTGTTATTAATCAATAACTTACACAATTTACAAAAAGAAAATTTATTCACCATTAATAACAGTTTTATTTGATTTATGGAGTTTGTTAATATTAGAATTCTCTTCCTTTGGCTAATAAGTCATAGCAGTTTAGTTGTGAATAAATACCTCAATGATATACTGACATATAAGTGCAAAAAGATAACATAAAATTCGGCAAAAAAAGCGGCTTAAATCAGGGAAATATGTTTCATTTTTTTTGTTTACCATCAATTGTATTTTCTGGATAAAACTAAGAAAAAAATTAAGAAATGTACTTGTACCTTATATTTGGTTATTTATTTATAGTACATGTTGATTTTATCTAATCGAATTTGATTCCTAGGTTCTAATAGGTGTTGGTTGTTGACGGGGAAATGGGGAGAAACAGAATGATTGGAATGAAGAAGAACAGAATTTATCCGTTTAAATTGTTTCTGATCAAAACGAAATACTCGTTTTTCGCAAAAAAATTGTTTATTCGGATGTTTGTCAGTGCTTACTTACCTTTTTTTAGTGCAGAAAGGTCAATATTTATGACACAAGAATTCAAAAATAAAAGGAAACGTCATATTTCTCGTTTATTTTATCATAAAGGTATACTTTTTTCTTTGTTAAAATAAAGAGATAATCATTTCTTTCAAAAAATATGAATAACAACATTTTCACACAAAGACTTTTTGAGATATTACCTGTTATGCACTACGGAATTGTAAAAAATACGACAAGAAAAACGGGGTGATACTTACTTTGTGCTCAATTATAACTTTTCCTGCGAGATGAATTACAATGAATTTGCCTTCGTTTTAAAGATACAAGTCATAAAAATTAAATACCTGTTGATTTTGAATGTGATTTGACATTTTAGTTCTTTTTAAAGCATATTTGGGGTAGAACAATAATATCTGAAAATAATCTATTTTTAGCATTACACACTGTTTTTGCACGTGCTCCTGTTTAAAAATAAGCACATAAAGGAATTGTTTTTAATACCTAAAAATTAAGAGCAAGTGGTCAGGAATGAAATGTCAAAGTTTTGAAAATTTCACACAAAGACTTTTCGGACATAGGTCCCCCCTTAACAAGGATGAACACTCTTGACTCTGCTTTGGATTTCCCAGTGATAATTGTATCTAGTGATGAAAGAGCTGACGGCGATATTTTAATGTATGATTGGCCTTGACCATTGGAATGAAGGTTAGAATATTTTTTTTTACATAAAATTTACACTACTGATTACATGACAGCTTAGTAATAGAGCATTGGTATTATTAGAAATACACAGACACACTAATATATTATCTGTTTTACAGTTCAGATGCTCTCTGTTAGCCTTGTAAATACCCATAATTTTATATTTTATTTAAAAAAAAAATTGAGTATGTAATTTCAACAAGTCTCGCTTTCAAAACCAAAAATGCAAAAATTGCAACACAACAGTCGTACTATCTATCATAGTGATCATACTCTGTAAGTTAGACTACACTTATTGTTAGTTACAGTATATATTCAACTAATTATATATTGACAGTGCGACTGTTCGGGTGAGGGCAGATACTTCTTCAGTTTTAATTTAGATCAGGCTTGTCAAACTGCATAGGCATGCGTAATGGCAAAATTAATGCTTTAGGTGACATGATTTGTAAAAGATGTCATAATAGCCTTACTGACGCCTGACTGTAGAAGTAAATTTTTAATTCGCATTTGTTTTCTTCGCATTAGCTGTCATGTGAACACAGTTTGATTTGCATTAGTTTACTCCGTGATAATTTACTGCGAATTAATTAAACTCTGCTTTTGAACAGGGTAATAGACTCTGAAGTCACATGACGTCGTAATGCAGGTAGCTAACTTAGGGCTACATAAAAGGGGTGCAATGATACACCTACCCCACGGTATGATACATATCACGGTATTCAGTTCACGATACGTATCACGGTACGTGACATGATATTGTGTTAAAAAGTCAGAGGTTTGTCATCATATACTCTCAACTCAAAAGTTTTAACAAATGTTCATTGAACTAACACTGGGAAAGTGATAACATCATTCGACCCCTTAAATATGAGCCTGGAAACAGGTTTAACTGCCATGTCTGCAGTTTCATTGACCTCATGTTTCATGCAGAAACCATTTTAAAAGTGTAATTGAGGAACCTAAACAGACAATTTGGATAATTACAGACCGAATGAACCGAACTGTGATAACAGTTTGATGTATTGTGAACTGAACCATGGAAAAATAACTGCGGTATACCCTCAAACGGTTTATCGTTGCAATCTTACTACATAACCAGTCTAAAGCTTGAATATAAGTGCTGATTTTAATGTCAGAGCAATGTTTTTATTCACTGTTTATCTCAATCTATCCATTAAATTAAAGTGAGTTTATTTTTTGGAATATTTTCATAATTAATTCTTACAAGAATGTAACTTAAACATGTTAAAGAAGTAAAGCACTGTGGGTCCAAAGTTAACTGCGGAAAAATTGTATGGATCAATGTGCAAGTCACAATCTTCTTTTGCCAAGGTGTTATCATAAGAGCTCGCATTATGAGCAGGGATTTGTGCTGCTGTCTGGACTCGCTATAAATAGATGTTCTCAAAACGTCTTAATTAATATCATACTTTATTGACAAAAAAAGGACAAATATTGCTCATTTAAATTGCATAAGAAATTTGTTTAAAAAAAATTGTAATAATAGAAAGTTTGCTTTTTTGTACGATAAGACTGCAGGAATGGTTTGTTTGTTTATTGGCCTATCAAACATTTTTCAGTTATTTTATGGTGCCACCACTTGGGATAGTATTAACTGCAAATATTATAAGACTTGTACTCAGCACTTATTGCCTTTGAGAAGTATGGGATCCTTTTTGTGCCAACACCTACCGTGACACAGAATCTTGGTTTTTACAGTCTCGTCGGCGTATCCTGTCTCAAGCATTTAGCAATGGGATTGGAACCTGCGACGTAAGGATCAGCTTCTTACTGATACTTTGATTGATAATATTTATTTGAGAATTTCACTCATTCAGACACATATTTAGAGATGTTAATATATATTGTTGAAAAGCATCAATTAAGACCTTTACTTAGAACTCAGGGTCATTGTCCTAAGTAAACATGTACTGTGAGGTTTTTAAGGTCTCATTCACTTTATATGCCGGGTGCATTGCTAAGGAACATTAGTGCTTAAATGTTTTTGTCTTAAATTTGATGCAGTGAATTAAAATCAAGCCCAGCTTCATGATTTTGCAAAGTGAATGCCCTACCACTAGGCTACCATAACAGACAATGATGTATTTGGGTTTTATTATATAGCTAATAATTAGTCTCTAATAAAATACAACCAAGAATCTAGAGAATTTTAGCGTTTAATACGTTGATGTTTTATCATGTTTATTGAACACTGCTTTGTATAGCGTATATAAGTTTGCCCAAAACATTCCAAATACAAGCGTTCAATATTGAACGCCTCCTTGTAAACAAAAAAAGTTGTCTAGTCAAATCCTCAGAGCTATATTAATGAAATTAAATGGCATTTACATAAGATGTGTTTATTTTTTTACACAAAATGAAATTATTTACTAAAAATTTAGTGCGTATTAGATCCATTAAAACCTTAATAAGCAAATCATACCGCTCGGTAGGGTCAACGGAATGATGCGATATTAAACGCTTACAGGACAGACGTTAATTTGAATAACGCTATTGTTAAAAATCATTTATTTGAGTTTTTTTAGTTGAAATAATTATCATAAATTACTATAGATGTACTTTTTCCCACGGGGTCATAATTCCACGCAATCTCAATTTCTGTTTAATCTGTGGATACATATAGAAAATTATGCAGATTTTTTTAGACAGTCACTGTATGCCTTACATTTACAAATTTCTGAGGAAAATGTGTGACTGCGTACATAGAGTTAATTAATATAACGCGGAAAAATGTACTTCTACAGTCTGGGAAATGTTTTAGCCATATAGTAAAGGAGTTATTGAACATATATTGGTGAATATTGGCACTTGTTGGCTGTTCAAATGCACTGGTGATCTCGTGCATTTGAACAGCCAACTCATGGCAATATATATTCACCAATATAAGTTCAATAACCCTGTCATATAGGAAAAATGCTTAGGCAAATACTTATAATGAATTGAAGCTTATACTTTATATAGAAAATTGATTTTCATTCCCTGTCTTTTTAAAACATTTGGAAAACTAAATGAAAAAATTATTTACATGTACCCCATTAGCTGCAGAATTGTAGCTCTCCGAAAAATATGTTGAAAGACCGGAGAGCTACATTGCCACCCATTGAAAAAAATGTATATTTATTGCACACAAAAAAGTGCGCTGTGTATTGATTTATTCCTCAATGTTTTTAAAATATAATCTCAAAATATTGCTAACCGTGTATTCCTAACATAATCTTTCACTGTTTCCACAACAAGTGTCCCTGATATCGAGATCATTGAAAATTTTGTTTGTTTATACAGATTATACTGTCATTTTTGTTTGTAAGATAATTCAGCCCAACAAGCTTCATGTAGATATCAACTACAAAAGTAGTTGATAGAATTGTACGGAAAATTTTTAAATCTAATTTTCTTGCAATTGAGGTAAGAATTTGGGAGATTTAATTCATACACCATGTACACAAGCGCAACTTTTTGTGCGCAATAAATATAGTTTTTTCAATGGGTGGCACTGTAGCTCTCCGGTCTGTCCAATAATATTTCGGAGGACTACAGATCTGCACCTGGTACCCCATGTACTTTTACAAAAATTATGCATGGCTAGTCGATTATGAAAATTATTGTGTCCTGATAAGGCGATTTGTAAAAGTGTAACAGCATGTTAGGAACAATGTGCCAACACAGTGTTCTCAACACTGTCAGGCTAAGGCAAACTAAAACAGCATGCAGCTGTGCTGACACAAAACATGTAACTAAACTTTACACAGTCTATTATGTGTTAGCTTGACGGTGTGGTTTAAACAGCCTGTTGAAACATCTTTGAAACCATGTCGTCATAAACACACTAGCCGATTGTCATAAGCGTTGTAGTGCATTTTTACTTCATGCTAGCGTGCAAGTGTATTAAACCAGCTAGCATGTTGTCATAAACTTTGTATAGCATGGTGTTATAAAGGAGCTAGAGCTGCATTTTTACTTTGCGCTAGCTCATCGTTCCTTATGCGATAGTGTTTTGGGACTTTTGTTACTTCATTAGCACACTGTGCCTAATGTATCACCTTTACAAATAGATTTATCTTGACACATAAAAATCATAACCAAATACCATCTTTCTGACTGATTAATCATTTAACAACTGTTAACCATTACCATTCCTAATAATTTTTTATATGAACAAGTAACGTACATTTCCTTTATTTGAAATTATGAAAATGTGTTATTTTAAAACATCCTCAAATGACTGCTTGTTAACCTATATTCATAAATTATTATAGAGTAGTTTTACAAGTAATACACATGCAGAAAATGTGATAGTATCTTTGAATTCAGTTTGATGGTTTATCTTATCTTATAAGTTGCACTTTTTAAAAAAAAAATCAATGAAAAATTTCAAATTCTTTTTATAGGTGTGACTGTGACTGTCATCTGAGTACTGAAATTTGCTGCCACGCATGATCCTGATTTGCCAGAAGAGCATCTGTTTGGAGATCAGATGACAAAGTATAAACAGCGTAATGAAATTGAAACTGTCATGTGAAACAGTCTCAGTTTAGGAAGATGACTTTAAATATAGCATATTCGAATTTTGATTTGAGAAAAAGACATAAATCCACAATTTGACAAATATGAATATATCAACTGCTTTCAGTTTTTCAAGAGAAATAGATTTTGTTACAGAATCTAGTATGTTTAGTTTGGAATAAATGTTCTTTTTAAATGTGTCAGATCTTGCATGTTTACGTAGACCTGTATTAAGGTCTTCCATTTCTAAGGGAAGGCATACTAATGTTAATGGTTAAGATGATAAAGCTCTGTCTTCAGCAGCAAAAGATATTATATATGTATTTTTACAGTATTATGGAAGGAAAGTTACTATCTTGGCACAAACAACTACACCATTAACATATGTGCATTTTTCAGCACAAAGGACATGTACATGTTGTTTCAAACATAAGATCAAAGAGATGTCAAATTATATTTAAAAGTCAACAAAGTACTAAATCTGTATACAGTTTAACTCATATGAGCTAATGCTGTAGTAATTTTTTTTAAATAAAAGTCACCCATTATCATCTTTGAATTAAATTCATCAAAATTTCATGTTCTTCTCAGAACCACAGGCACAGGACAATTTAAGTTAAACTTGGCACAGAGCATTCTTTAGTGTAGGGGAATAAAATTTGTTCATATGAAGGGCAGTGCTTTTATAAAGAGATCTCTTTGTTGAATGTCCTGTTCAGAGAACTTTTCTACACTCTTATTGAGATACCAGCATTTGCCAGTGGAGGTCTGCACAACACATCCCTTTGTATTTCTTGTAAAAGTATTGGTCTCTTTCTGAACTGACAAAAAATGGAGATAGTTTATCAGGAACACATTGGGATTTCTTACTATTATAATACTATCTAATTATACTGTGTAAATGTTTTTAAAGCATTTTTTTAGCTGATGATATATCAAAACACTGATATATCCGTAGCATAAAACACTTCACTAATATGATTGCATCATAGGTGATAGTATATGTCTACAAGTCAAAATATGAGGATGTATAAATTTTGTAGGTACAGTTTCAATGGTGTTGGAGAGATTACCATTGGATTATTTATCCTTGTTTATCCTTGTGCTCACTCCAGAATCAGACTTTAAGAAAGAGTTTTTGCTGTTTGAGTCAAAGAATTAAAGAATGGTAGCAAAGTTGACATTTGAACATTTCACTTTTTGCTTATTGCTAAGATTTGGAAGACCCACTCGTTGCTTTGCAACGAGCTTTGCTCTAGTTATGATTTATATTTTTACAGTAAGGAATCTAATGTCGTTTAAGTCACATTAATTATACTATTTATAAAACATATGGAGATAACAAACAGTATTCAAGATCAAAAGTTCATTACACAATACAAAATAGGAGCAGAGCAAACACGGACCTCCAAAACATCAGAGGTGGGATCAGGTGTCATGGAGGAGTAAGCATCCCCTGCCGACCGGTCACACCCGCCGTGTGCTCCTAGCAGTGTGCCCCTTGTCAGGATCGGGAAATAACGAAAAAATCTTTCGTCAATTCAATGTATAAATAATAAACTAACAATTAGAATGAAGAAAGTCAGTCAGCATTTGACTGAGTGATAAATTGTATTTGCCGACAAGGTCATTGTATCGACCATAAAACTTACATGATTATTACTTTAAACAAGACTGCTGATATTCTTGTTCCATCAACTTTTTTGTCAATAATTTACTTCGTTTCAGAAATTGTTCATACGTAGAGCGCGCTCTTACGCATCGAATCAACTGAGACACATAAACTCCGTATGCAGGTGATGAAGGTATAAAGCTGCATAAGTAAGGGAAGTTGACGATTGAATAGTTAAAGTCATCACTTTACCATAGAACTTTGTTGTTATATTACCATTAAGGTCTCTTTCAAGTAAAATATCCAAATATGAAAAAAATGTCAAACTCTGTAATATCTTTTATCTCAAGCTCACCAGGATATATCGTATCGACATAAATATGGAAATATACTATTTTTTAAACTGAGGCAGCTACAGACAAATAAGTTAATGTTAAAGGTATTTAAGTAACTCGTTTAACGTAGCATACGAAGGGTGATCAAAAAGTTCGCCAACTATCACTATATCTACAAAATATCAATTCTGATTAGAGAAAATGTTGGTAAACAGATAGCCATACACATGATATATAAATAGCATATGCTGAATAAAGTTTAACTCCTTGTTTGTGACGTCACAATGTGAAAATGACGTAACTATGTAGATCACTTTTGACATAAAATGGTTGTCTCATTCGTACTCGTCCAACGAACGACTGTTAAAATTTTAGGTATATCTTAGAAACTCTTTTACAGTAGCATCTAATAATTTGTACAAGGTTTATTCAGACAAAAGAATTCCTTTAATTCAATCAATGGTTCGATTGATCGTTTTAGTGAAGAAATGCAGATGGTTAAATATGATATTTATTATGTTGCCCAGTGAAAGCAAATTTGAAAAGAGATGTGTTTTTTAATTAAGTAATTTGTTATCAAATTTACAGTTAAAAAATAGTTGAATATCTTAACAATAATATTATTAGTATATACCTAAGATATCGTTTCTTTTAGATTGTAAACATAAAAGATGTGATAAAAAGGTGGCACCCAGTGTCTATCCACCTTGAACAAACATCTCTCCCGAGACAGAAGATTTGGTTTTTATTGTCGCCATGCTCATTTTAGGAAAACATATTCTTATCCACCAATTCTGTTGCTGAGATATGGCCATTTCAGATAAATAAACTGCTCTTGTTTTAAAAATTAACTTGCATGGAAAGAAATGTAAAGCTCAGAAAAATCTTTCAGCTTTTGTGATAGAACGCTGCGGAGCGGTCACGTGACCGCTCATATCACGAGATTCGCGAATGAGCAAAACGATGGCAGATATGCATTAAAATTGGAGAGGACTTATTTAGAATACAATCAACACCGAATACATGCAAATACTTAATTCTTTAATGGAAGTTACTCAATTATTTCGCGAACTATTTGATCACCCCTCATATGTCAAAAAAAAATGTTATAATGACATTGTTATATATCAAATATGACATTATCCAAATAAATGATTTTTTGTTTTTAAAGATCTGTAATTTTAGCATTCCAAAGTAATACATGAATATTTTATATGCATGCAAGCTTTACCAATAACACATCCCATTCTGAAACTAACAGGAGTTGTTGTTGTTGTTTTTGTTGTTGTTGAAGTTAAGCTAAGATTAGTATATTTTGAGAATTTTTTATCTTACAAGTTTTGTAAGGTAAAGTAAGCTATGTAAAAACATCAATTCATTAACTGGTTCTGAAATTAATAAGACTGACTCATTCAATTTGTCAAATGAAATTCATTGAAATACATCCCTTGTCACTTTAGAACTCATTTTGCAAATTATTCATGTACAGATTAAGATGAAAATGACTCTTTTTTTTTTGAGAAATCCTTTCTTCTAGTAATAAATGTTACGAAGTATTATCATTTTGGTAAATGTAGACCAAAAAATAGTTCTATCACTTGATATTGAAATTTCTGTAAATCTGTTTGAAATAAACTTGAAATAAATCTCCTTTACAAACAGCCATTATATATTAGAAAAGGGGAATGCTGACTTACTGTACGTCTCAGATTATACTGTTCGTTATCTCCATATCCTTCATTAATAGGATTGATAATGAGGAACCAAGACAAAGCATATCAACTGGATTTTTTCCTGTTTCAGATTCATTTGTAATGCATTTGTGATCCTTGTTATACTTTTTATGCTTCATGATCATTCAGGAAAGGTATTTGTCGAATTCCAAATGCAAATTTTAATTTTTACTTCCTTAAACACACTTTTTGGTTTTTTATTTGTTCTTTTGAGTGGTATTCAATTTGAAATATATGCAGTCACGAGTTTATATTGAGGAAATATTTTGTTGTTATCGGCTCCAAAAAAGGATTTTTAAAATTTTTGTTTCCCGTATGCATCAGTAAAATGATGTGGCAGTTAACTGTCGTTCAAGGCTTTTCTCTCTGGCAAATAGCCCGTGGGTACACCAGATATTGTAAGTAAACAAAATGCAAATAAAAAAAAATAATAATACTAACTTAATTAATTTCATAAGATATACGGGTTAGCTCTGCTCTCGATTTGAATGGTTTGAATAACTTTTGAACCTTAATACAGTAATTAATGAAATATACACATTTAATATATAGAATTACTATGTGTGTGTTCTAAATGCATACATTAGACGATTAAAAAGAATTAAGGATTATATATGAGTTAAAAGAAATGTTTTTTAGAATTAAAGTATATTTTTCGTAAAACATCTAAACTTTTTTTCAATGAAGATTTATTTGAAAATAAATGCAAAGTGAAATACATGTTTTTGTAGTAAATTTTGACGGAAAATGTGATTATATCGGCACAATAGGTATTGATGATGATGAAACTTATTACCTTACATGGAATGGATCTGAATTTACTCAATCTTGTTCATATACATTCAGTCCCGGCGCAAATAATAAAATATGCGTGGATGCTCAACAGTTCTTTATTTCTGATTGTTCTGCTAAACTTTGGTATTATGGAGGACTTTTGGGAAGCGAACTAAAAAGGGTAAATATATTTATATTATTTTTGTCATCAATCATGCTTGAACATTTACATTTATCCTTTCAAAAAGAAGCATTAGTTATGAAGAAAATGGAAAGTCCACTAATGTTTGTGAGTTTCCTCAAGTTTTAACGGACACCCCTCTCCCCCCCCCCCCCCCCCCCCAAAAAAAAATAAAATAAAATCATTTCCTCTTCCGAATATTAACATTCTTGATTGCAATATCTTAATTTTTCTTCATAAAAGAAAAATAATCCTGTCTGTATGTAATTTAATGAAATGTATATTCCTCAAACAATTAAGGAAGAAAACAAACGAATATTCCTACACTACAATCTTACTATTGCATGAAAGATTTAAATAATCAAAACAACTTATTTTGTATGTAATGTTTATTTCACAACAGACATACAGTTGTTTGGATACAATACCTGAAAAATTCTGTGGCGAGGAATTCCATTATGTCAAGATCAAATTAACAAAGTCGTCAAAAACGAATGCACTCGGAAACTTTACACTGAAAGTAACGACAACAGGACCTTTGCCAGGTATGTTTTAAATATAAATTAAGTGAATTTATACCTAGCATATAAAAAGAATATTATTTAAAGAGCAATGTTCACTGTAACACATATTTGGCCCTGTTGAAAATGAAATATCATAACTGCTCAGTATCAATTAAAAATACATAATTTTTTGAATAGACCTAAAGTGAACTTAGCTCTTCGGAGATGCACACTATAAAAAATAGTCATCTTTAGCAATTATTGCAAAAACAAATCCATAAGGCGCTTAAACTATAGATTTTTCCGGGGGTGTTATTGTTATGATATTTTTCTCCAATTATTTTTTTCTGAGTGACAATAATCATATACATTACGGAATAATCTCCAACAGTAGGTATCATTATTGGTTCTAT